GGTGTCTTTAAGAACATTTATTTACGGCAACGGCCGAGAGGTTAAAACGTTTGTTTTCTGACCATTTTACACCCGGGTTCGAATTTCACCACCGTTGATTTGTCAGGAAGAAGACTTCCTGATGTTATCGGTCTGTAGAGGGCGATCCCAGCTTGCAGCACCTTTGGAAAGAGCCTGGAAACCATGAATACACACACACACACACACACACACACACATATATATATATATATATATGTGGGTAAAAATAAGGACACACACATATATATATATATATATATATGATAAAAGAAGAAAATCTCTGATTATATATTGTCAAATTCGCAAACAACCTTCAAATTATTTTACGTTATACAGTAATGTCTTTAAGAATAAACAAATTTAAATCAAGATGGCGTCTTTGCAGAGAAAATTACGCCATATTTTTTTCTAAATTTTCAATTTCTGTAAATAAATTAAGTTTCCCTATCAAACATCCTGACGAGTAGATGCCATATTCAAGAAAATTCCAGCTGAGCATTTAATTCTATTTATTGCAATATATATATATATATATATATATATATATATATATATATATATATATATATAATGAATTAATTAAGCCCCGGCAGTTATTCAATATATTTTTTGTTTACACGTTATTTTAATATATACAATTTATTTAAGTAAATGCTTTGTTTTTTAAATAAACAGTATTAATTACATTTACCGGCCTGAATGTTCGAGAAATTTCGTAGAAAATATGCGTCCTTCGACAGGAATCGAACCTGTGTCCTATACGGAACCAACAATTTATCTAACGTGATATGCAACTCAATAATACATAGAAGCGTCTGGTTAGCTAGGTCTAAATTATTGTATATAAACAACAAATATTCGACTATCTTTTGATATCGATGTGTGTAGAAAGTGTGTGTGTGTGTGTGTGTGTGTGTGTGCGTGTGTGTGTGTGTGTGTGTGTGAGAGAGAGAGAGAGAGAGAGAGAGAGAAAGAGTTTTAAAACTGGTGATACTGATATCACAATAAAAGTAACACTTTGATAATGTCTTATAAAATCCTCAGGCGTAGCGGAAAGCAGGGAAATATTTTCGATATATATATATATATATATATATATATATATATATATATATATGGTGTCCTGAAATAAGTTGTCATAATTTAAAATGTGAATATCTGAATGTCCCAGGCAAACAAAATGAAATAAGCTTCATGTTGAATAATAAAAGATTTATTTATCAAAATTTGAACAAGATATTCAAAGGGATGTAGATTTTATAACCGATTTCACAAAGCTTCATAAATGTTCAATATACACATCATCTGCGGCATGACACACATTAAATCAGTAGTCCAGCTCCTGCCAAACACGCTGTAGCATGTCTTGCGTAACATTCTCCAGCGCCTTAGTGATTTTCTGCTTAAGATCCTCTAGGCTTTTAGAAAGAGGTTGGGATATAGACCTATCCTTTCACATAGCCCCATAGAAAAAAATCACAAGTCAGGTGAACGGGTGGCCATTTCAACAGCACATTGCCATTACCACTGGCACACCCGATCCATCTTCCTGGTAGATTCTTATTGAGATAAGTCCGCATAACCAACTTAGTTATTGGTTAATGTCAATTCTTTTGGGACATCCTGTATATATATATATATATATATATATATATATATATATATATATATATATATATATATATGTATGTATGTATGTATGTGTGTGTGTGTGTGTGTGTGTGTGTGTGTGTGTGCAGAAAATAGGAAAGAACACATTAGGTAAATAATCCGGAGTTCTTTAGTATTTTTGTTTATATTTTCAAAGAAACAGTGCTCCATACAGGAGTAGAGCTTAAATTATAATTATTTAAAAAAATATATGATTCCTTCGCTACATAAGAGTTCTCATGTTTCATAAAAGAGAGCCGAAAACCTCAAGATAATTCTTAAAATTAAATTGCATTAAAGTATCTACCCCTGTTTCATCCTCAAGCGAAAATGTAGGAATAACCAATCTTGAAATTTACGCATCTTTATAAGCATGTTCATTCGCAAAATTAATTACTATGGAAACGGCTGGGGTGACCATTGTGATAAGGGGCCTAAGCGTTAATTTTTATCCACATATCAGTCACCTTCGGAAAGAAGTCAAGCCGAGGTAGGGTCAGAATGTCCATTTCAAAGCGAATGATGGCATTCATGTGCACACATCGTCTGGTCAGTCACAGCGAAAGAGAGCTTTTGGCACCATAATATGTCGTTACGTGTCTAGAGAATTTCGTTTTATTTATTTATTTATTCATTCATCCTTTTATTTTCTTTTTATTTATTCATTTTTTCTAAAGAGCTGTTTCGTAATTAAACGCGTCGCACTGAACTACAATTTGTTTTTTGACGACTTCATAAAGGGTTTTTCTATCTTATGATTGGGTTAAGCTTTTAAACCTTTTATTAGACTATGAAATTTAATTTTTTTCATGCTAATTATTTAATGCTAAAATTTGTTGATGTCGGCAAAAAACTGTTAACTCATGTCTATGGTTTAATAAATTTTCATTATTTAGAAACTTAATATAAAACTATATATAAAGAAAACATATTCAGTGACAAATTTATATATATATATATATATATATATTTCGATTATAGATGCAGTTCAATTTATAATTACATGAATCATTCAGACAAAAAACAAATATAGAGGTTAATGATTTAAATGGCGAGAATACATCTTCGCAAACAATTTCAATAAGGTACACTAACCCCGAACCTGTATATGAATGATATGATACCTGTTTATAAATTCCAGTTTCATAAGGTCTTTTTTAGTTTTTACAAGCTTTCGTCTGTTCCTACAGACATCCTCAGGAATGGAAATAGATTTGTTCTTGTTTTTTTACTTCTCAGTAATAAGAGGACAACGAAAATATAGATGTAATCCGAAAAAATGCTATGAGAAATGTGTTATTATTTTGGAACGTGCGGTCGCAACGTTGAGTTTGAATTTTAAATTTTAAGGTTGTGCGTTTTTTGTTTTTTGTATGAATGATTCATGTATAAATACATACATACATACATATATATATATATATATATATATATATATATATATATATATATATATGCTGTCCCACAAAATTTGACATCATTTCGCAGGTAAATAATTTAGGCAATTCTTGTTGAAATAACCTCAAATTTTCAGCGAATGTATAGAAACAAGTCAAGATTTTATATTCAGGGGAAGAGGGCAGTACGTGCTTATCTCAATGATAATCTGCCAGAGAGATGGATCAGGCGTGGTTGTGTTGAAGATGAAATCGCCGCCGCGGTCACCGGACCTATCCCCGTGTGATTCTTTTTTACGGAGATATGTGAAGAGACTGGTCTATATCCCTTCCCACTCTTCCTGCTAGCATTGATGAAATCAAGCAGAGAATCACTTCCGCACTGGATAATGTTACCGGAGACATGCTACAACGTGTTTGGCAAGAGCTTAAATAGCCACTAACGTACTAATATATATATATATATATATATATATATATATATATATATATATAGATAGATAGATAGATAGATAGAGAGATAGAGAGATAGAGAGAGAGAGAGATATTCTTAGAGACCTCTTTCTAACTTACATAAACATGGCTGATGCTAACCTCCAAGTGAATGATTCGCTCCGGCTTCTTGGGTTTACATTTTCCACTGTAATGAAGTGGTAAGTGGAAATATTATATTGAATTAATTCCTAGATTTTCTTCTGGGAATGCTGGTTCACCTTGCCATCCAAGTCAATCCTTTTATTCCCAGAATTTATCTTACATATGTATAAGTCTATTTTACAAATTTTTACGTCTGGTATTCTGCTTATGGTATGGTGCTCCTGCTATATATTTAAAGATTCGTGATAGAAATCAAAGAAGACTGCAATGTTATTTATCCTGACCTGGCACCTCGGCTTCAGTTCCTTTCCCATAACCGTAATGTAGATTCCCTGTCCCTTTTCTATAAATACTTTCATGGCAATAGTTCTGATGAACTTTCCTCTATGGCACCTAGACCTTATGAATTTAAGCATAGTATTCAATTCGCGGCAACGACTCATCATTTTACAGCTGAATCGGCTAGATGTAACCGCAAGTTCTATGCTAACATTTTCTTCTCTCACACTTCTCGCTTGTGGAACTCTCTTCCTGCTTCTTGCTTACTAGTCAAGTTTGATCTTCAAATTTTAATGTTAATCATTATCTTCTGTCTGCTTAATTCTTGTTCTTTTATTGTCCACTGTTCTTAATATTAGTTTTTTTTTTCTCATATTCTCTAACACTCAGTAACACCTTGTGTCGTAGTGGCTTTATTGCCTTGTTTCTGGTGATCTGATTAAAACAATAAGATAGATATAGATATACAGAGAGAGTTGAGGAAAGATACTTTTCATTAATGTTATTTTTTTTGTATTTATGATTGAGTCCCTGCTACTTTTCGAATTTCGATACAATGTGTATTGCAATGTGCATAATGGTAGGGGATATTCGCACCAGGTGATGTACACAATCATTTCTCATTAATGCGTCAGGTTGTTGTCACGAAGGAGTTTCACTGAATAGATTTTCCTGAGATGGCTGCAGCTGTCAATAACGAAAATCGGGATTATTTAATCGACGTTTCATTTTCTACACTCACTGATTTGCACAATTTCGCGCAACAAACACGGAGAAAAAGAAAAAAAAAATCCTAATTGCAATAACATTTACTTTTGTAATCACATTCCGATGGAATGAAGGTCTTTTAAGAACACACGTCAAGGCGTAATTAAAGAGAATAAAGTTGGAATTTTGGTGGTTCTTATAACTATACTGAAGTTAAGCAACGCCGTGCCTGGTCATTACATAGATTTCTGATTGATTGATTTGTTTTTACAGCTGATCAAACTTTTGCAGAACGCTAGAAAATATTTTTAGATTTTTTGTCTTTGTTCAAAATAGCCGAGAATTTTGAAAACCGTATTTAGAGAGAGTTTCGAAGGAACAGAAGATAGGGAAAACAAAGAAGAGGAATATTAGATACTCATACATAGAACGGGAAAACTTGAGGAAATCAAATCCTACTCAAATCCTACTTTAATGTGGCTACTTGTCATATTTATAAGTAGGAGCAGTACATTATCACAGTAGTAGGGAAGAGGAGGAAGTACTCTGATTCCTACTCTACAACAGATTTTCAGTCATTTTGAGATAATGATTTTTAACGATACAATTTCTACTAATTAACCCATAGCTGGGATAAGAGAAGAGGTGAATTTGCGGTTCCGAGTCGTTATCCATTACCCCACATTCATATGCAAGCTTAACTTATCCTGACCCCACTAATATCGATGTATTCTACTCGACAGGCCGTTGGTCATGTGCTGGTCCAATATTACAGGTTCAATCAAAGTCTGCGGTTCACAATGTCAATTCGATTCCACTTTCCAGTCACGTTCTGATTTTGTTCCCGGAGAGCCATTAACAAATCGTAGATCCCGGAAGATTCAGCTTGTCTAACTGCAGGTTCGTTGGGCCGAGAATCGGGCCAAGCGGAAAAAAAAATCAAATATGAAAATGTCGATTCAAGTCCTAAGAAAAAATATGTAGATGTATATAAAAAAAAATTGTTACAAAAAGAATAATACTTCCTTTACAAGAACGTAGCGTATAAACAATAAAGTCCAGGAAAAAAATATATTGCAAATAATTCTGAAAGGAGGGAAGTAGCTTTCCGGTTTACCATTTTTGTTCCTAGTAGTGACCGTAATTAATTCACTCAGCAAGCATTAACCTTATCACAGCAGCAAGCGGGCGCTTTCACTCTCACTGCCCCCCCTCTCTCTCTCTCTGTCTTCGACTCCCACTCGACTATCTTGACTCGTTTTCATGTGCTTAAAGAAACGTGGTGGTAGCGAGAAATCTTGATTACAACCTTATTATTGACCTCTCCCCTCATGATTAAACGAACAGTCTCTTCATCTCAACTGGTATTCCATAGTTCATATAAACACTATTTTTTGACATTTTATATTAATAATTCCGACAAAGCACAGAAACTTCACCACAGATTATTTTTCATATCTATAAACAAAATTCTATACTTCTATAATTATTGATATTTCAAGGGTGGCCATTGCTCTCCGTTACAACTGCACCTGGTATTTCCAAGGAGACAGCCATCTAGGTACTGACCAGGCTCAGCGTTGCTTAACTTCGGCGATTGTACGATAACCGGTGTTTCAACCTGGTATAGCCGTAAGCCTTATATGGGTGACCTAATACCAGAGACTGTAAGCTTGGATGTGCGGGTGGTGTAATTGATAACGACGCGAAATTGGAAGTCGGAAGACCGAGTTCTAATTCTAGTCGGGTCCGTTATATTTACTTACGTGCATATACCTTGGGAAAGGTATGGATCTACCCCTTCTACACCCAGCTATATGTTAATAAGTAGGACTTAGCTGATTATTGTTATGGCTACAAATTTCTTACAATCTAAAAATATTTTCTGGTTTTAAATATCCGGCCAAAAGGTTGATAAGCCGTAAAAAACCCCAAATCAATCGATCAAGATGTTGGATATAACTCTAAAGTAACAGCTTTGTTTTAATCAATTCACCCCGATCAAGGTGATAGTGCCGCTAAGATGCAAGGGGCTGCTGGGAGTGAAAGCGAATGAAAAAAACAAAACTTTAGAAGGAACTGGAAGCCTAATCCTAAACAGGAAACAAGGGATAACTCTCTACTCCTGTTCAAAAGATAGGCGAACCTATCCACTCCTATTGAGGAAAAATAACATTTGACTTATGCATTCGTTTTTCAATCCCGAGTAAGGTCATATTTGCAATCCAAGCAGAAAGATCCTTTATAGTTGGAGGATGTCTTGAGTAATCTGTTAACAAGATGTTATTTATCGGCTTTTTTAATGTCTATATCCATCACGGATACTCAGTATTTCCCGAATCAGGTTCATTAACTTTGGTCCGCTGGCCTACGTGGTCTCTTCTATAAGTTTATCGCAATTGCTGCAATTAAGGACTTCGATATGTCATCAAGGTCGTTTAGTTCGTGTAGTGTATGTTAATATTATAATCTTAAATATTTGTTACATTTTCAAAATATATTCTAAAAAATACCAACGTTGCTTACCCCCCGTTCATCTATAGCTGTGATCAAAATGTTATGGTCGTTACCGGTTTCAGGATAGAAAATAGTTTATTTGAATAACTACGCGGCATACAGCACCATACTTCAAAATTCTACCTTGGCTGTCTTTTGCGTGGACATTAGTATACAAAAACCAAAAATAAAGCAAGCAATTATTTATAAACACTACAAATGCCCGTATCAGAAATAAATAACAAAATTATTCATTGATTACACTTGTGAATAATTTTGTTATTTTTTCTGATACTTAACAATATTTGTCTTTTTACTCTCACTCCTACTCCCAGGTCTATCATCCATTTACACAAAATCCTTAGGTAGGTTTCACTCTGTCCCGTTAGCTTGCAATACATTCTGTGTTAAATTCTCCAAGTCCTCTTTCCTCATTATGAGTCCTAGAAATTTCAGCTGTCTCCTTTTGATTCCAAATATACTGATCTTTTCTACTTCCCTTATCCGTAAAAATTCCTCATTACTTACACCTATAGTCAATGGCATTCTCAATATCCTCCTGTGTTCCGTTCCGTGTCGTCACTGGATCCCAACGCTACTGAATTGATGATATCAACGAAAGACGGTTTATTTTTTCTCAGCTCGTTTTATTAAAGAAAGGGGGCAGACGTGGCAGCATAGATTGTATGAGGCAGCGGGAGGAAGAACTTCAAGGTGACGCATAACGCTCCTTGGCTTAGCATCCCTCCGTATATTCTCTCGAATGTCGTAAGGGTATTGACGCTTCAAACTTCCGCACTATTTTGGACTTAGATTCAAATTTTCTACAAAGGAAATCAGTAACTGCCAGAATGCCACACTTGGAAGATATTCTGATCAATCGCTGACCCCTTGGCTCATCTTCTGCATCCAGTATCAAGTAGAAGCGCATCTCCGTTGCTTCAAGTCTCCTCTTCATCTGTGATTAGCTTGTTCCGCATTCGCTGCTATTTAGAAGGATTGATATTATATAGCAATTCAGCTCTACCACAAACAATTCTAGACTGTCGCGATTACTTTGCTGTCCCTGGTGTGCAGTAATGTCATCCGCCAGGTGTTTCCCAGCACACACGTGACACCGTATATTTAGGGATATCAAATATCCCGTGATTTCGGAAATGGAATGCCTGATCCGTGTGTCACCAACAATCAGGTCCTTTTCAAGCTATGTTGCAGCCTTGATATAATCACGCTTTTCGGTTACCAAACATCAAACCTAATTTTAGCTCATAAAATGTCTGGATATTTCTCTGACATTAAATTACTGGGTCGCGATTTGACGTGTATGATTCATTATAGGTTTCATTTCTTTATTATCACTGTATGTATCCATGAGTCCGTGAGAAATATAATAAAGTGGTTTCACGTTGTCTTCTCTTAGACTGGCTGCCAACCAAGACTAGATAATTTGATTTTAGATATTGCTATTCTCAGGTCAGTGTGCAATAAAGAGATATCTTTGGCGAATAGAGCAGTTATTTTCTGTTACAAATTAAATACGGGGGAAAGTCAAAAATTGTCTTGTCTAAAGATATGTTATGGAAAATGGGCGGATAATTCTTTTATTTACTCTTGTATATTACATTACTAGCAGTAGAGCCCGGCGTTGCCCGGGGATGTAACAGTAAGAGATAGATCAAGTATCGACCATCATAAAGACTGAAAAATAAAATTGACAAAGATTATTGTTTAAGGTTGACGGACACGCATGTCTTTAATTTTTTTTTTTTTTTTTTTTAAGAATTGGTCAAACCCAAACTCAAACAAAAACATTGTTTTCAATCGTTATGAGTCTACCGATTGAATAGAATTTTATTATAAACAATTGTCTTGTAAATGGAATTTTTAAAGCATTCTGAATGTAAAAAATAAAGAAAAAAGTGTGCAAGACAATAAGAAACACTACCTGCCAAAAAAAGTGAAATTTTCTTGAAATTGGATGAAAAATATAGAAAATATATAAACGAACACACACACACACACACACACACACACACACACACACACACACACACACACACACACACAAATAACCTGGGTTTTATAATAAGTATAACTCGATATGAGTTGTCTCCATTTCATTCTGTCTCTTAATCGTGTTTTCAAATTGATTTCGTGCTAAAACAATTGTGTTTTTCCAATTTCTGGCGCTGTCAGAACCACCGCAAGGTAATTTTATGTAGTCCTGTGAAGTTTTGTTCAAATCGGTTGAAAAATGTAGGAAATCCGATCCAATATATAAACGTACAGACACACACACACACGCGCGCGCGCACGCACACACAGCCTGGGTTTTATAATAAGTAAGATTAAAAACATAAAATTATGTATGCGCTTTCATTTAGTATTCTAGGAAGGACATTCTTTCCGTCCTGTCATACTCGTAAAATCGAAGCGTTCAAACGAAGTAGCCCTAAGAGGGTCGCGTATCATGATCAAGGACGTAATCATCTTTCGGTGAACACGGTTGATTCTCTCGAGCAATTGGACAGAAGTTTTGACCAATGAAAAGAAGCCTTTTCCTACTTCCGCTCATCGAGATTCATTCTCGCTCCATTTCACGTCTTAATTGCTCGTTGACAAATTTCACACTGCGCCGAGCAGTCCTTTGCTGCCAGAAGCAGATCTGTTTGGATTCCGTTCACCATGTGTAGACAAGTGTACGCGCATTTCTTTTCACAGAGACGTGAAAGAAAACTCAAAATCTTCACGCAAGGCCGACATTGCCTGAATCGTTTTTTTTTTCTGCTATAAATGTCTCTGTTCATATATTCTCTCTTATACTCAAACACACGCATGTGTGACCACGCCTGGTTTTGCCCATAGTTAGAACTTTCTTAATGAACTGATATTACCGAGGGTTTGGGCGTTATTCATCATGACAGATTATGCGTCCTCGCCCAGTAACTGGAAATAAGTTCGGCACAATATAAGACCCAGGATGGACTCTGTGGGTGTTGAGCAAGTCCAAATGTGCCAGATCATAATGGCGTCTGTGCCCATGTTTCATTATAAAAATATTAGCGTAATTTAAGCGTGTATTAATAATTGGATGTAGTAATGTATTTTAATTCATAATATACATATTAATTCATATATATATATATATATATATATATATATATATATATATATATATATATATATATACTATGTTGCATCATCAGTAAATGTTTGAATCATGCATTCTTTAAATTTTACGTTTATGAATTAGTGTGTCTGATAACTAATCAATATACAATAAATACTCATCAGACGTGCATATATATATATATATATATATATATATATATATATATATATATATATATAATTGTGTATTTAGGCAGCAAATTCTCTTTTAGACATTTCTGATTAAATAAATTACAAACATCATGTCTGCTTATTTTTAGCATAATCCGTTTATATTCACGAATATTTTTCAGTGTTTTACACTCAAATTTCTTGGCTCATTTGATTGTAATACACGAAAAAATATTCGTAAATATGAAAGGGTTATGCTAAAAATAAACAAGCATAATATATATATATATGTGTGTGTGTGTGTGTAATATAATAATAATATAACAATACGTCAAATGTAGTATAAAAAGTATAATTTCATTAATTTTATTAATAATATAAATTCATAAATTGAAATTTAATTAATAATATAACATATCACAACAACTTCAACATTAAGCATACATTAAAAAAAACTAATTTCGAAGATAAATTCTAATTTTGAAAAAAAATTTACAACGAGAAAAAATGATGAGGATTACAAAAAAAATGACTTAAAGAAAAACAGAAATTCCTAAAAGCAAGCGCGCAAAAAACGCTTAATTCCTGAACGCGTGTACAAAACAGATTAAAAAAGACACGGAAAATATCGAAAAAAATTTTTAAAATTGGAAATGTAATCATTTAATACCCTGAAGAATGGTTGGCACCAAGAAAACTTTGAAGTCGGCGATGCAACTAAAAATGATTTAATAGTTGCAGTTAATAAATTTTATATATATATATATATTATATATATATATATATATATATATATATATATATATATATATATATATTACAACAGATCATTATTTAAACATATATTTTTAAATATAA